GTGTTTCCTGTCCCCTGTGGAGGACCCAGTCACAGGGAGGTTCTGGGTCCTACCTCGTCAGGTGTCCTGGCCCCTCTGCAGCAATCCCGTCTCACGTTTTTGGGTTGCTGAAGTTGCCCCACAACCCACTGATGGTTTCCCTCTCTCCTGACTTTGTGTTTCTCTTTCATTGGTGTCTTCTGGTTCATTCATCTTTTCCTTCCTGACGTCTCATCTGCTGTCAGTCCCATTAATTTCATTTCTGTCTTTGATGCTGCAGGTCTCACTGTGGAAGTGTCCTAACATTCTTCTCCTGTCTCTGGGTCCGTGTTCAGTCTTACCTTTTGCCTGTTAAGCACATGAAATGAGGTGTGACTCTTGTTTTCTTGTGCTTTTCTGTCAATAGTGCAGATACTGGATGAGTTGCAGTGACCCATTTTCCTAGCTGCCCTCTGGGTGGTTTCTCTCCTTGGCAGTCTGGTGATTTTTCATTGCAGGTGGGACAAGTTTTGCCTGTTGAGTTGTGGTGTTTTCACTTCCTCACACTATCTGAACCTTGCATCTGTTTGGAAGCAGGTTGGCCACTTTCCTGCCAGTGGTGATTTGGCAGGACCCTGTCCTGCTTATCTGGGCTCAGTTTCTCTTGAGACTCTTTCTTCTTCAGCTGATGTTCTCTGAGTCTTGCAGTTTTCGGGGGCCCCTGGGAGCAGCACGTCCCTGGTCCACAGAGTTCTGTGCCTTGCTCCTGGAGTCCTTTCAGCTCTTCCCAGCTCTGCCTGTCGCCCAGCCACCTGCCAGCTCCCAGGGCTTCCCGAGGCTTCCCGAGGCTTCCCGAGGCTTCTCCTGGCTGCAGAGCCTGGTTTGCAAACCACCTCGCTGACAAAACAGTACTTCAGATGGACTTTCTGTCGTTTTAGAAAATCAGCATTCATGTTAGTATGCAGTTTGGGAAATGTTTTTAAATACTACTAAGAAATAAATTGTGGCATACATTTTGCAAGAAAATACTAAAAGCAGACATTATTAAAGAGGATGGGTTTCAGCTGGGCACAGTGGCATATGCCTGTGATCCAAGCGACTCGGGAGCCTGAGCAAGAGGATCACAAGTTCAAGGCCAGCCTCAGCTGGTAAGCAAGACCCTGTCTCAAAATATAAAAAGGAAAAGCACTAGGGGTGTGGCTCCRTGGTTGGGCACCCCGGGTTCAATCCCTGGTAAGGAAGGGGTGGTCTTGATATGTCAGAAAGTAAATTTATATGCCATTTCTCAGTGTTAGTCTTTAAATTATTGTAAGGAGGAATTTGACAAAAGGTTTGTGTTTCTTCATTAAGTGTGTGTATCTATATTGACGTTTTAGGAATAAGCAATATGTATGTTAAATGCATTAATTTTTTTAGTCTCCATGTTAAATTGCTGTGTGAAGGTAATGAAAAACAAAAGTTCATATTGCTAAAAAGTAGTCCACCAACTAGTTTAGACTTCAAATTTTTTAATAGTATAATATAATCATTTAAAAAAGAAATAGGATAAAGATTAACTACTTAGAATAATTATTTTTGATAGAGACTAGCAAAACAGGCTTCACACATTCTGTACATTATTATGTTGAATAATGTACAGAAAAGTTTTGTTTAAAAAAATTTAAAATGCTTTTTCTGTAACTTAAAATTCTCCTACTGCATCCAATGGGCAGCACTTGCCAGGTGTGTACCTCTGCCAGGAGGTGCACCAGCTGGGTAGACTCGGCTGCCTGAGCAGCCAGTGYGTGAGCTGAAGCCAGCTGTCTGCTTCTGCCTCTGCAGGCCAGAGAGCCCACCTTAGCACTGGCAGCCAGTCAAGGCAGGGRTGGCTCCGAGGTTGCAGGGGCAAAGCTGGGTTCTTCTCCACTGCTGTGGAGTGACCTGTTGGCAGCTCGTCATGRGGGCCATGCCCTGCAGTGCTGCAGCAGACCTCAGCAGCTCACTGCCAATTTCCGCATTTTTGCCTCTCAGATTCAAAGAATGAAACCCATGGACAGTCATGGTAGGCAAAAGTGAAAGGATAGGATTTATTAGAGAAGAAAAAAGGAACTCCCACAAGTTGAGAGGGGACCTGGTAGCAAGCACATTTCCATCCAGTGTACTAGAGCAGAGGCTTATGTAGCTCTGGGAAAGGGCAATGATGTGGCTAATCAGTTCTTGGRAAAGTACCGATGCTCTTGGTCAAAATCTGTGCTAAACTGGTATTGAATAAGTGCCAGAACTGTTGGTCAAAATCTGTACTGAGCAGGTCTTGGAAAAGCACTGGTGCCACTGGTCAGAACCTGTGACAGGACTTGGAAAAGTACAGCGCTGTTGGTCTGCCGCGGCCTTCTAACTGGCTGCGCCCTTTTACCCTTGAGTTTGCACTCACCTGGAACCTCTGCTTGGGTCCACCCCATTTCTATTTTTACCCTGTGCCTGGAGAAAGGGTTGGCTGGGATGTTTGGGATGATTCCACAGGTTAACCTCATGAAGTGGCCTTAATATTCAAAAAAAAAAAGAAACCAGAACACTTAATGGGGGCCCATACTTGTCCTCCCTTACCCCTGGGGAGGTGTGAGCAAGCGGGAAGCAGCTGGTGCGGTGGTGTGCGTGCATGGTTGCTGATGCACATCTAGACAGAGCCGCGGCCTGCACCACAGGGCTGCTGACGCACATGGTGTCCACACTGTGCCTAGCCCCAAGTGACCCAGTTCAGTCTTCACAGYGGCCCCTAGAGTAGATATTGTGTTTGTCATCAATTTACTGAGAAAGCTGAGTCTTAGGAAGTATTTTGCCCAAGTCTGACCTGAAGTTGGTAGTAGTGAACAAGAATTGGAAGCTGAAGGCCTGCCCTTGGGGTGCGGCTGACCATAGCTGCTCTGCATTGGCAGCTCCTGCCCTCATCCCAAGCTCCTTGTGGGCGGAATGGGTTCAGTGTGGTTGGCTTTACAGTGTGATGAGAGATGACAGGAAGGGAAGTTTCTAAACATTACCAAGGGCTTAGCAAAACAGTCAAGTTTTTATGATTGATAAATGGATTGATCATATTGCGTTAGTTTCAGCCACTATGAAAGGCAGTGTGGAGGTTCCTCAAAAGACTAGTCACGGAACCACCATCTGGCCCAGCTACACCGCTCCTCGGTGTTGATCCTAAAGAATCCAAGTCGTCATACTACAGAGTATTTGCACACAGTGTAGCAGCACATTTCATGGTGGCCCAACTATGGAACCAGCCTAGGTGTCCATCAGGGGATAAATGGGTAAAGAAAATGTGAAAAGACACAACGGAGTTTTATTTATCCATTGAGTGAAAGTATGTCATTTTCAGGAAAATGGGAGGAACTTGAGACCATTGTGTTTACGTGAGATAAGTTAAATTCAGAAGGGCCAACGGCCGTATATGTTCTCTCATATGTGAAAGCTAAAAGAAAAGAAAGATGGGGGAAAGAGACTCTCATGAAAATCAAAGGGAGAGCCACAGAGGAGAGGGACCAAAGGTAGGAGGTGGGAGGTGAGGGGCAGGTGCTGGGGAGGAATATTAGCCGGGTGGTATTGTTATTTTGTGTGCAGGTACAGTATGTAACAACAAATCCCAGTGGATGCACAACTAAAGTACACCAGTGTGGAGAGAGAGAAGGCAACCTTCAAAGGGAAATTCTGAAATATTCCTTTAGTTAGTGAGTAGTTGAGAACGTAGGTGGCATTCTGTGCGTGTGCCCACCATGCTCCTGTCACCTCTGTCCTGGCCCCTGCAGGCCCACCTCCCCTCGGTCCACCTGGCGTTATGGCCTACTGTGTTTCCTCCTCGAGTGCAGTTGTTCCAGGTACCGTCCCCACCTCCTCGTCCAGSTCACTGCCAGGCCTTCCTCTCAGCACCCTGTGCTGCTTGTTCATAGTAGGTCTTGACCGGTAGTGAGTTCTCCGTTGCTCTGTGCCTGTTTTGATTTCTCCGTGAGTCAGTGAGCGTGTTCTGCTCCATCTTCTGTGTGCGCACAGTGGGTCTTATACTTGCTGCTGTTCAGTGGTTGTGCACCGCTGTTTATGTACGGAGATCAAGAAGCTCCTTATCAACCTTTTGCAACTCTCCAGATATCCAAGTTTTTCATTGTGAGCAAAGTCTCACTGCTCCTTTTTCCTTCGCCTCTGTTCTTAGGTCTTATGGCAGTTGGACATATTCCGGCGAAGCTTACGGGTTCTGACTGGACATGTCTGTCAGGGAGAAGCCTGCATATTTTGTGCACTGAAGGTAACATTTTAATAGATATGAAAAATTATTATCAATTATTTCTCCAAAAATTTAACTTTGATAGTTGAYATATTTGGTCAGTCCTTGGCAGTGAGAGTGTGTGGTCAAGTGGGCTTGCAGACACCTCTGCGGGTGTTTCTGCTCCTTCCTGCCCAGAGTGCCTCCTGGAGCAGGGCCAGGCTGCTGACTGACTCCCTGCTGTCTGTTGGGAGGCAGGCACCATGCTGTGAGGAAGGTGGGGGTTCTGGATGTCACCCACATGGACCTGCAGCCGCTTGATGTGATCACAGGTCCTGCATTCAGACCGTCCCCAGGAGGGAGTCCGTGGGGAACAGGGGTGAGCCATTCACCTGATGGCAGAGTCCGGTCAAAGCCAGCGTTTTCAGGGCTGAGCTTGCGGAGTTTGTTGAGGGTAGTCAACATCTGGCCTGAGCTCAGGTTGCGCRGGGCTTCCAAGGCCCTGATGCAAATCATGGCTGCCTCTGGTGGGTGGCCAGATACGGGGTCACTCTGCATGGCACGTGAAGCAGGCTGTCTGGCTGGGATGGAGAGAAGGTAGATGATGGCAGAAACAGGGTCCTGTGGAGAATTCCATTTTGTGACTGAAAATCTTTTGCCCAAGAATTTAAGATTGGATGAACACATTTTAAAGATAAATATGTTTTGTTCTTTTAGGTTCTAAAATATTCTTAATGAAGACACACACATGTTTACACAGGAACATAAMATTAAAAACAAAACAAAAAAATTCCATGTCTTAGATTTTCTTGTTCCTGAAAGGCTTTTTGAATAAATGGCCCAAGAGGACATTTTATCTTGTCTTCTTTCACATGTGGTGGGGTGTCCTTGTTACAAGGCAAAGAATCAGCCTCGTCAGATCATGGTGTCAGTTTATGTACTCTGCAGGGCGTCTGAGCATCCTGCCCCTCTGTGTCACCGAGTTTCCACCCTCCCCTGTCCCATGCCCCCACCCCCAAGCACTGGCTGGCCACTGTGGCCACTGCCTGCTGACCTTCTCTGCTCCTGAGCTCGCACGCTGCTTTCTTGGTGCATTTCCCCAGGTCCGCTTCTGTCAGTGAGGCCTGCCTGATGGCCCTGGGCAGGAAAGGCCGTGTCCCTAACGCGCCCCCAGCAGGCCTCAGCTGTCACCTGCATTCCCTTCTCTCTCTGCAGTTTTTATTTTTACCTGCCCTTCCTTGTCCCACTGTTAGATGTGATGGCTCATTGGCATGACTGGACGGCAGCTCCTGTGCAGGTGGGACCATGGACACTGGCAGGCAGGAGGGCATGTCACAGAAGGCCTGGGGGACCAGCACCTCACCCAGAGTGCTGCTTGCCTGAGTCCAGCACTCATGATTATAGCTGTTAGAGTGTCTTAAGTAACTGTAGTCCCGGCTGCCTAATAGTATTTGAGTCTTTATTTTTAAGTTTCTTATTCTATTAATAAAATTTTCAGCAGTAGAGAACAGATTATTTATTTATTTATTTTTTGGTGATGCTGCTGGGGATTGAACTCAGACCCATGCATTTTAAGCAAGCAGTCTACCATTGAGCTACAGCCCTGGCCAGAGCAGATTCTTTAATTACTCGCCTGGCCTGACTGTGCATTGGCTTTGGAGACCTGGAGGGACCAACCCCCTGAGCTTCCGCACCAGATGGGCTCTTATTCGGGGGTTGCCTCTGAAGATCTCTGCTCTGTGACCTCCTTCCCCAGGAGTTGGTCACCGCAACTCAGCTTACTCACAAGCTTGTCTTTTTTGTTTATTTTTTGCTTAAATTCAGTAAAGAAAATAGAAACCTAAAGTCATACCTACACTTTCACATTCTTGAATGATGTTTTATTGCTTCTTGGATTTATGTTAAAAGTATTCTCTAAGACTGGAAATTGACAACTTGGGGTGGCTTTTCTTAAGTATTTAAAGTAATCATGAGCTCTTTTCTGACTCTTACAACATGCACTTTTGCATTTTTGAAAGTAGGTTCCTGCTCTTCCTGGCTGGCGGGTTCGGTTCCACCGTGGGTACATGGCAGCCTGTGGGCGCAGAGCAGCTTGTCTCTGCCTGCTCCTGCCGGCTTTCTGCTGGGCCGTGGGCAGGGTTCCTCTGCTGCGAGTGGACCTTTGGTGTGGAAGCCGCCAGCCTGCGCTGCATTTCCCTAGTAATTGATGTGTGTGTGGACCTTGGAGCAAGCGGCGGTTCTGTGTTTCGCCTGAGTGTCTCCAGGTCGTGACATTGCTCGGTGCTCGTGGTCACTGGCACCAAGGCACCACTGTCCTCGCTGCCTCTTGCAGACGATGTTCGCGCAGTTTCAGCACAGCCGGGAGAAAGCCCTGCCCTCCGACAACGTCAGGCATGCGCTTGCAGAGAGCTTCCGCGATGCCCAGCGCTTCCAGCTGGGCCTCATGGACGATGCCGCCGAGTGCTTCGTAAGTGCTGCGGGGTCCTGCCGCGGGGGTCTTCCTACAGGGTCCTCSGTGAGGTCCTCCCGTGCAGAGTCGCCTTCACTGTCAGCAGGCGCAGCTGAGACAGGGCTGTCAGTGTGTCCACAGAAGGCCCATCTCAAGGCTGACTTTAGGTCCACCTGTGTTTTCTGTTAAGCATTTGGTTTTGATTATTTGTGCTAATCTAATTTTTACGAGTGTTAGGCCGTAAAAGTACTGGAAACTTTATCCACTGGAACACAGACCTTTGTAAGCCCTGTCCCTGAAGCAGGTGTCCTGCCTGTGGCCTCCCTGGGCCGAGTCGCAGCAGTGACAGGTCCTCATGCRCAGCGATCCCCTGTGGATCCCCTGGCGAGGAGAGGGTTGTGGCCGCCCTGGGGAAGCGGCTGGGGCCTCACTGCAGGGGCGCGTCCTGGTYGCTCTGCAGAGCCTCCCTATGGGGGCGCTCTGGGGTGTCACAGCTCTGACCCTRTGCTGGGGATGTCGCCTTTCTTCTCCCTCGTTCCAGTTTCTGTCCCACACACTCTGTGGACTCTCCTGGGACAGACCCCACGGCTCCTTCCCATGTTTCCTTAACAGCCGTATTTCACGTTCCTTAAATAGGATTTTTTTATCTATCATTTTGTCAAAGATCAAATTAAGACCTACTTATCAAGTAGTGTCTGCCCAAAGCACTCCAGTGGGTGCCCGAGTTCCTGTGGAATGTGGGGTTGGGGCACAAGTGGCCTGTGCTGTCAGGTCTCCATCATGGCAGGAGCCAGCCTGGCCTCGCCTGCTCCGCCACCTGTGTCAGAGGCATGCTCAGGGATGGGCACTCTTGGTGGTTTTTATCTATATTTGACCCATTTCTTAAAACAAATGTTTTGTACAATACTGAACTTTAGTTTTACTTTCTTTTAAGTGAAGTTTACACATACCTGCTCATCAAAGTTCATAGTGTCCAGAAATCAGGGCTTCAATAATTGAACAGTTTCAGACGTTTTGGGGCAGAGGAGGGAGATGTGGGCTCCCCTAGGTACAGTTAAGAGAGTGAATGCACGTGGTCAGTTTCTCAGGATTCCTGTGAGTGGGTGTCCCTCTCCACCATCAGTGTTTCTGGCTGTATCAGCTGGCCAGTGGGGCCAAGCAGGATTTTAAAAAGCACCTGAGTTTCTACAGGTGAGGAAACCAGGAGCAGAGACTGCAGTGTTTTCTAATATTAAATCCAGGTCAGCCGCCAAGGGTCACTGCAGGTTGGCTCTGGAAGGACTTTGAGATTTTTGCTTGTGAGATTTCTCCTGTTACTCCCCCCCACCCCCACCCYRGTGTTGGGGAGTAGATTTTTGAGGAACACGGAACTGACTGTCCCAGCCCCCGTGTCACACTGGACGGTTCAGCGAGTGTGAGGTTTTGCAGTGCTCCTGCAAGGGCAGCCCGACTGTCTGTTTTTGAATTAGGAGAACATCCTGGAGCGGATCCACTTCCACCTGGTGCCGAGCAGAGACGCAGACATGTGCACCTCCAGGTCCTGCATAGCCCACCAGAAGTTCGCCATGACCCTGTATGAGCAGGTGAGGCAGCAGCTGCCCTGCGGGGGCCTCGCCTGGTCACTCATGGACTAACCCGTGTGTCACCCCTAGTGCGTGTGCCGCAGCTGTGGAGCCTCTTCAGATCCTCTGCCTTTCACGGAGTTCGTGCGGTACATCTCCACCACAGCCCTCTGGTAAGAGCCGGGCAGCCGTGCCTGCTAGCGCCTGGTATTGATTCTGTAAGTCACGGTGTGTGGACTGCTGTGCAGCTGGGGGTAGAGCACCTCTCCTCGGTGCTTCCTCCAGCCTCTTGCCGGTGGTTACCCTACCCAGACTGCATGGGACCAGCTGTTTGGATTTCAGAGTGTGAACTGTCTGGTGTCCATCGTGAGCATCTGGGAGAGGGACCCAGTCTGAACAACAGATCCCATTCATGTCCGTACACCTCTTGCACAGCCYGAGTGGTTCTACAAGAGCTCTCCAGGCCTGAGCTGCAACTGTGCCCTGTCACGTGAGGTCAGGCCTGGAGTTTTCTGTTGGTGGCACTGCGTCACTGCTCAAGAAGCGTTGGAGTTTGGAGCATTTCAAATTCTGGATTTTCAGAGTAGGGTGCTCAGCCTGTGTGTGTCAGTGACATGCACGAAATATTACTCAGAATCTCTGTTTATATTGCTAGCAAGGTCTTGGGACTGTGAAGGGAGATCAAATGGCAAACTCTGGTCAGCGGAGTGCAGACAGTGTCTTGCTCTCCCTTCCTGAGGGAGGGAAGATGGGTGCCAGAGCGTCCTCACCCAGGGCGTCTGGGGCCTCAGCCTTGTCACCAGCCTCGGCCTGCTGCTCTTCTGCTTGTCTCAGGATCAAAAACTGGTGACAGGTCCAGACCTGACCCCAGAGGTGGCCGATGGCCCTGGGAACTCTCTGCCATTTCCCAAGTTTCTGAGAGCCCAGGTGCTGTGTGGTGGAAAGTGAAGAGACTCAGAACGTGGAAGCAGAAGCTTCTGTGTGGCAGGTGAAGCATGAGTCAGGGCACCGGCCAGACCTTGGCCCTTTGCTCCTACCTGAGCTCGCAGCTCTGCAGTGTCTCTCAGAGGTCATCCTGTTTAGTGTCTCACATGCACCCACGAGCAGGGCTGGGAGCTCCGGTGGGGCAGCAGGCTCTGAGGCCTGGTTGGTCGCCGTGGGTGGTCAGTCCACTGTCAGTGTGCACGCAAAACAGAATGGCATTGGAGTGGGGAGAGACCAGGAACTAAAGGCTACGAAATCTTACTCTGCTTCTAAAACGGCACAACCCCAAGCAGCAACTAGATAAGGAGACCCCATCAGTGGTCCCACTGGCTCTCAGGCTCGGAGCCCACTTACGCATGTGCTTGTTTAGAGCACCTCTCTAGTTGGGAGTGAGCAGTGGACGTGGACTGTGGATGCTTGCCACATGCCAGGCTGTGTGTGAGTTGTTGATTTTGATCTCAACAGCAGCAGAAGTGGGCAGCTGGGGTTGCAGTGAGTCAGGATGGAAAGCTGGTCTGCCACTGCACAGCAACCTCAGGAGTGTGTGGTGGGCCACTGCTCCGAGGTCCAGACGTGCTCCTGGAGGGCGCTGGAGGTCCCTCCCTCCGGCTCTGAGGTCCAGCCTTGCTCCTGGAGGGCGCTGACGCCCTCAAGCCCCGTGAGCTGTTGGCTGTGCAGAACCGGACTCTGGGATGGAGAGCAGGTGGACAGTGCTGCCTTCGCGTCCCTCTGAGCATGTTAGAGAGCTGTTCTGGTGTTCACCACCCCATGTGAGGAGTGACTCTGGGGAGGTGAGTGGCGACACCCTTACCCCCATGGGGCGCCTGTGGGCTCCGTCAGTGTGACCAGCCTCCCCAAGGGAGCCAAAGCCAGGCAGGTGGTGACTCTGCCTTCTTCTGAGGGTTCGTGCAGTTGGTGTCCTTGTCTCTGGGATGGGACSCAGAGCCTGTCCTGAGATCTTGCTCTCTTGTTGGGGCCAAGTGTGGGCTCTAGTGCTTACCTGGGGTGCCTCAGGTCCCAGCGTCTGGCCCCTGTGGGGGGCCCAACTTCACGCCCATGCCCACCTGACCTGGCTTTTCATCACGCACCTGCTGCAGTTTCCACCGCGTGGAGATTCACGTGAGGTTGATTGTCCAGGCTCGGCCCTGGTGAGGTAGGGAAGCGGCTGCACCTGGGCCAGCTGCGTGATGTTCCTGGGTCACGTACTGATCTGTTTTCAGTCCACAGGCCACATTGGGACTGCTGCTTTTTTTTGTAGCAATGAAGTTGAGAGAATGCTGGAGAGGCACGAACGCTTCAGGCCTGAAATGTTTGCGGAACTGCTGCAAGCAGCCAACACAGCCGGCGACTACAGGAAGTGCCCTGTGAGCAGGGTCTGGGTGTGGGCCCCGTGCAGGGTCAGCTGAGGGGTGCAAGTCGCAGGCTGGCTCCACACAGGAGCCATTTGTCCTAGCTCTGTTTCTTTTAAAAACTTGTATTGTGGTCAGGAGATTTAAAGCAGCACATGCCATTCAATTTTTTGGAAGTTCTGGGATTTAGCACTTGAGTTTAAAGAGGTTTCTCTTCTTTCTTTGAATAGACACGATAAATGATATTCTTTTCTCATCTAATATTAGTACTAGCTTTTACCTGCTTTCTTTAGGCTACATTCTTGTTTTAACACATCTACAAAAACACCAAAGAATATTTTGATTTGAAGTAAACTTCCTTTTTAATCAGTTATTAGAAGAGATTAGCAATTTCTCAGGGAAAAAAATGAGTTCAGATGGTCTTTATATAACGTAAATTGCATAATTTCAAAACTTGCCTTTTGTGTTTTTCTTTAGAGTAATTGTGGCCAAAAAATAAAAATCCGCCGTGTTTTAATGAACTGCCCAGAGATTGTCACGATTGGTTTGGTCTGGGACTCAGAGCATTCTGACCTGACTGAGGACGTCGTCCGGAACCTAGCAACACACCTCTATCTTCCTGGGGTAGTGTACCTGTGTTCCTTCTTTTCCCTTTTATTTTAAATTCGTCTAAACACCTTTGTGTGTTGTGATACACATAGTTTTGCTTTCTAGAACCTAGATTCTTTTAAAGAAAATACTGATATTTCTGGGTAGTGTGGCACAGACAGATCTAGTTGGCTCAGGTGAGGGGATGTTTTTCTCACAAAGCTCAGAATAGCTTTCAGTTGCAGACCAAACTCCATCATGCCTTTTGCCCTGAATGACAGTGACAGTGTGATTTCATCCATAGTCAGTGTTAACCTGGAAAAGGCTTTAAGATGTAAGATTCAGGGCTGGGGATGTGGCTCAAGTGGTAGCACGCTCGCCTGGCATGTGTGTGGCCCGGGTTTGATCCTCAGCACCACATACAAACAAAGATGTTGTGTCCGCCGAAAACTAAAAAACAATAAATGCTAAAATTCTCTCTCTCTCTCTTAAAAAAAAAAAAAAAGATGTAAGATCCACCTGTAACACTGATCTCTTGATTTGCTTCACTATTATTCTCTTAATATATTGTAATTGGTTTATGTTACAGTTAAGACTTTAGATAGGTGTACTTCAGAAAATACTTTAACATATGTTCACATGTGTGGTTTGCCGGGAGTGCGATGGAGCTCACGGTCTGTTAGGGCTGGCCATGTGCTGGCCCTGCACAAACCACCTGCACTYGATGGAGCGCAGTCTCCACAGACTCATGAGTCTCAGGACTTAGTGGTGAACGTGCCAACCGGTTTCTCAACAGCTCTTCTACAGGGTCACTGACGAGAGCGCCCGGAGCAGTGAGCTGCACCTGGTGGGCCTGATCTGCTAYGCCAGCCGACACTACTGTGCCTTCGCCTTCCACACCAAGAGCTCCAAGTGGGTGTTTTTTGATGATGCAAATGTGAAAGAGGTGAGGCTTTCACTAGCTGGGAGAACTATTTTGRTAGTTCTTTTTAGGAATAAATTATAAAACTATACAACATGATGGCATTATTACATGAAGTAATAGTGAAACCGGGTTTGAGATGAAACCAGATTCTCTGCGTCTGCGGGCGAGCGGGTCTGCACAAGGCGCAGGCCTCTGTGGCTGAGAAAGCTCTTTGGTGTTGGCAGCCAGTCACAGCAGGAAATGCCTGCTGGCGCCAGCTCCACCGGCCATAGCCAGCAGAGCCGGATTCTTCACAGTGTTGGGCTGTGCCTGTTGGGATTGAAGCAGACCCCAGTAGTCTATCACCAGTTTCTTTTTGGATTCTTGTCTCATAGAATTCAAAGAATGAAATCTATAGACAATGAAAGAAAGGAATTATTTAAAGTGAGAAGAAAAAAGCCTGGCTGGGCCCGAGGGGGCCATCTGACAGCAGATTACCACTTAAGTGCACTAGTCTAGGGGCTTGTATAGCTACTGGGTAGGGGCACTGATCTGTGTTAATCAGGTATTGGAAAATACCAAGGCTGTTGATCAAAATCTACACTATCAGGTATTAGAAAAGTGTTAAGGCTGTTGGTAAAAATCATTTCCAGTTGGATTGTCTTCTTACTAATAAGCTGGAGAAATTCTTTATTCTCTACACCAGTTCTTTATTAGATTTTTATTGCTTATTTTAAAGCTTAGCAGTGTGTCTTTGCAAGAGCAGAAGTCATTAATTAATTTTAACAAAGTCCATTTTGTTAAAATTTTCTTCTACCGTTCATTTGGTTCTAATCTTTGCTGTCCACATGTTGTAAAGATTTTCTCGGTTATTTCTCTCTGGACGTTTTATAGTTGGTGTTGGTTTTTCCTTGGGGCAGTGGGCCAGAGCTCTTCTCCCCTGGCTGGCTGTCCAGCTTCCAGCCCCATTTGTGGAGCAGACCTGCTTCTGTTTCTCCACCGAGTGGCCTTGAATCCTTGTCAAAAGTCAGTCAGCCTAACTTACAGTGTCACATATGCTAGGATGCCAGTCAACCCTGAAAGTGTTACTTATTCCATATATTTGAGGATGTATTTTATTTCCCATCCAGGAAATAAAAGAGATACAGCAGCAATGATTAAAAAAAAAAAAAAAAAAAAGATCAGCCACTTACATGGAAATCTTTTTAAACTTTAATAACACCTCTTCGGATAGAAAGCCTACCGAGTCACCCCGTCAAATTCCAGAGGAACAGGCATGACACCCTCTATGTGTCGTCCTTGCAAGATGCTGGTTGGTATGCCAAGGGGCTGCTGGCTCGGAATGCCTGCAGTGCTCTTGAGATGCTCGTCCACTCCTGCTCCATGTACTCGCTGACCACGGGCTTCCCTTTTGTTTCTGTCCCTTGTGCTCTGCAAAGGTTGGAGCTAGGTGGAAAGACGTGGTCTCCAAATGCACCCGGGGTCACTTCCAGCCGCTGCTCTTGTTTTACGCCAACCCAGACGGCACGGCAGTTTCCACTGAAGATGCTCTCAGGCAGGTGGTCACCTGGTCACATTACAAATCTGTTGCAGAAAATATGGGTAATTCTTTTAAAAAACTTTTTGGTGTTTTTCTATTATCAGAATCAACTAGGAATATTTACACTGGATATAAGTGAACATTGAGCCTGGGTATAGTGGCCACTTTTATGGCCCCAGCTACTCAGGAGGCCGAGGCAGGAGGATGGTGGGTTCAAGCCAGCCTCAGCAACTTAGCAAGGTTCTGTTGTCAGTATAAAATAAAAAGGGCAGGTGGAGGCTGTGGATGAGGCTCAACGGAAGAGCATCCCTGGCTTCAGTCCCCAGTGTGTGTGTGTGTAGAGGCAGGGTGGGGAGAGAATAACTTGAAAATTGGGTTTCAGTAATGGGGTTCAGGACCTTCTAGTGTGCTTTGTTCATTTTTACTGTTTTTATTTACAGTGCTTGGGCCGGAACCCAGGGCCTTACATGCCAKKCAGGGCTCTGCCACTGGCCACACCCAGCCCTTTGTAGCCTTTAGAAGGAGCCTTTGTGTGTCATTGGTCCCATAGCACATTTAGGGGTTACTACCCTGTGTTGGCTCTGGAGCACCTAGGGGTCACCCACCATCCATAAGTGGCCCCTGAACACCTGTAGTGTCACCCACCATCCCCCATCAGTGGCCCCTGAACACCTGTAGTGTCACCCACCATCCCCTGTCAGTGGCCCCAGAGCACTTGTAGGTTCACCCATCACCCCGTCAGTGACCCCTGGGCAACTATAGGTCACCCACCATCTCCTGTCAGTGGCCCTAGGCACTTGTAGGGTCACCCACACTCCCTTTAGTGGCCCCAGGGCAACTGTAGGGTCACCCACCATCATCAGTGGGCCCAGGGCACCTGGAGGATCACCCGCTATCCTGGTCACAGGTGCCTAGGCTGCCTCGCTGGTAGCRCCTCCTAGTGGTAAATATTGAGCTTTCTGGTGATTGGGTAGACTGGGCCTAGGGCCCTCCAGAGTGTGGAGCAGAGAAGTGTGAAGTAGTTCTGCCCTCAGTGCTAGCAGTGTCTGCAGGAGTGAGCAGGCAGCTGGGCACGGGGGCGCATGCCTGTATCCCAATGGCTCAGGAGGCTGAGGCARGAGGATCATGAGTTCAAAGCCAGCCTCAGCAAAAGTGAGGTAGCAAGCTACCTAAATAAAATACAAAATAGGGCTGGGGATGTGGCTCAGTGGTGGAGCGCCTCTGAGTTCAGTCCCTGGTACCCAMCCCCCAAAAAAGTGATGCCAGCATCTTTTCTCCTAATGCAAAGGAAGAAAATGATACATTTTTGTTTCTCTTTTTAAGGATGTGAAAAGTCTACAATTCATAAGTCAGATAGTTGCAAAGAAAATGAGTGTACCGGTCACGGTCACGGAGAACTGAGAGGAGGTCAGAACCCTCAGAGTGAGGTGTCGTCATTTAATCGGAGCCCCGTTCAAGCAAGTGGAGGGAGAGGAGCAGGTACGTCTGTGGTGGCTCCTCTGCCTCGCTTTCCCCTGTCCTTCTCACCGAGTTCCTGAGACCTGGTGCATGGTGCTCAGCTGGCCTTCCTGGCCCGGGAGAGACTGGCGGGTAGACTCCAGGCTGGGGCCAGCCGAGACTGGCAAGTTGCTGGACAGCTGTGACTGGGCCCTCCTCAGGCCCAGGCCCAGACAGTGGTGTGCCAGGCTCTCAGGTGCTGTTGGCGAGTGCAGCCGAGGGGCGAGGTGCGCATCACTCTGCCTGTGTTCACTCCCGCTTGTCGTCATCCATGATTTTGATTCCCACAAGGCACATCTTGCAATTTTCGTCCTAAGTGAAACGTCTGGCAAGCTGCTGCTGCTGCTGCACTATGTGTAGTTAGGATTTAGAAATAGGAAAACCGAGTCATGTGGGCGTTCAGGGGGACTTCGGAGCAGCTTCTAAACATGCTGATGAAATCATGTCTGCCAGTGCCTGTGGCCCTGCAGCTAGGAAGGGGGCACCTGGAGTCCTCCGTGGGTGGCCCTGGGAGCCCTGACCCACAGCACAGCCCGGGTTCCCCCCAACCCTTTCCCCGTGGTCAGGATGGTGTGGTCTTCGTGTCCTTTGGTTCTCCTCCGTTAGCCGCCTGAGCTTGTGCTGAAGCAGCCAAGCTTGGTCCACGCTCTGTTCTCGAGCCGTAGGAATGTGGACTCGCTTCTGATTTCTCAGGGCTCCATTTCCTTAACTGAAATGGGGATAGTGACCCTGCCCATTTCAAAAAATTCAGAGAGCAAGACCTGCAGAGCCGTGCCCACAAGCGGGGTCCAGGCGGTCACCTGTGTCCTTATTATTTTGATGGCACATTTCTTTTTTCTTTTCACTCACTCCAGGGTCTCTCTCAGAAGTGTTGAAAGAAACCGTCTCCAGGGGTCAGGAGAAGTCAGCAAGTGTGTAGTTAGGCCGAAAATGAGTTCGTTGTGTACTTGAGGTGGTGGTTTTAAATATAGGATCAGCAGTTTTAGCTGAATGTTTACTTTTGTTGAACAGTTTGGAAATGACCTGCCACTGTAGGATGTTTCTTTTGCAGTTAAGCTAAGCCATGGTGATCAAAGGGAAAAGGTGAAAGACATCTCCAGAGAGTGTGCTCTGAGAGCCAGGCGGCAGAGAAGCTTGCTTTCTGCCCAGTGGAGAGCTCTCGAGCAGGCACAGAGGAAGGACACGGCCCGGCACAGAGGTGAGTCCAGATGCGCACTTCCCTTGAAGACACTGCCCGAAGTCTCCTTCTGAAATGGAATTCTGTAGCTTGGGAACGGCAGTGGACCAGTGCCTGTGTGCACGTTTTGTGTGTCGGTGTGTTTCTCAGCACGAGTTCTTCAGTACACCTGTACCCAACCTAGAAGGCCCACTCAAGCCTAAGCTGGGASTGTGTTCCGGTTTCCATGTTTTCACCTTTCGTAGCAAGCGTGTTCCCTCATGTGGCACGTGAGACTGCAAGGGGGTTGCACAAGGGACGGCTCTGGCCCTACCTGTGTTCACGGGCCTTCGCCTCTCACAGGCTGCTCTCTGGCCTTGTGTTCTTCCTTCTGGACGAGGCGTCCTTGAGCTGGTGCAGACAGACGCACACAGGTGCTCTCCTGCCGCCTTGTGTGCTGGTCACCGGGTGTGGCACCTGGGGAGTCGCCRTGGCAGCTCTGCCCGGCCTGGTGGGCGGCCACAGCTGCACTGCCCCCTGGACCCCACGGCCTACACACTGGCCTGAGCTCCATCTCTGCTCGCAGCAGCAGCAGCAGCTTGCCAGATGTTTGGGGCTTTGCAGTGTGTGAGATGGAAAGTATTAGGACTTTTGTTGATTGTGAGATATTTTTTTTWAAAAACTTCTTTGTGGTCCGCCTTGTGGGCTTTTTTTTTTTTAGTTTAGGTTTTAGTTGTAGAAGGACACAATACCTTCGCTTTATTTAGTTATTTTTACGTGGTGCTGAGGATGGAACCCAGGGCCTCCCACGTGCTAGGTGAGTGCTCAGCCCTTGTGGGCCATCTCTTTTTCCAGTGCTTCTCAGTGAGCATGAATGAGCACTGGTGAAGGCCTTTAATCTCACAGCAGACTGTGACTGACTTCCGTCCTCCGGGCGACCACCTAGCATTTCTTTTTGAAGGGTCCTCAGCGTGTGACTGCAGCGTTGCTGTGTGGGGAGGTCCATTCATGTCTTGACTGTGGTCACTTTTTAAGGTATGTCTGATGAGGAGCTCTCACATGTCAAGCCTGGGTCACCACCTGCCTCCAGTGACTTCAGGCGACAGGACAGCGCTCGGCTCTGCCACAGTCAAGGGAAGGAGCCGTGTAGACAGGAGCGAGTGGCCTCTCAGAGTCGAGCTGCTGGGCAGACAGCGAGTCCCAGCAAGTCCCAGGCGCCTGTTCCAGGAGAGAGAACGGCCAGCAAGGGCAGCGGTGCTGGGTGTGGCCCAGACAGCAGCCAGAGCTCTCGGGACAGACATGGTGGCCGCAGCCGGAGCCGGGGCCGAGGGTGGAGGCCTCTGAGGGAGGCCCTGAATGTGGACAGCGTTTTCAGTGACAGTGGGAAGAGGCAGCACAGCCCACGGCGCCAGGCGGACATCAGCCATGGACCCCAGGGGGGCCAGGAGCAGACCTGTGGCAGTTGGTCCAAGCAGAGCACAAAGCAGAAAGGGCTGGTGACCATCTACGAGGACGAAGGGAAGCTGGAGACAGGAAGCAGGAGCTCCCTGGACTCTGGCGGGAAGGGAGCAGAGAGCAGGGCAGGCCCCGTGGAGCGTGGGGTTCCTGGTGACGGCTGGCAGGTGCAGAGGACCGAGTCTGGGTATGAAAGCAGCGACCACGTCAGCAACGGGTCTGCCAGCCTAGACGCGGCAGCTGCCGACGGGGGTGGCCCAGCAGTGACCAGCGGTGCTGCTGGAGAAGCAGGGACTTGCAGGTAACAGACCCGGGGGCTCCCTCCACCCTCTTCTGTCCGTGGTGTGAGGCCATTGGTTTGGGGTCAGTTAAGCATAACAGCAGCTGAGCACAGAGAACRTGGTTTGGCTCCTCTTGCACACTGAGGACCCCGGGCTTTGGTAGGCAGTTACCGACTCCAGAAATAAGAACTGTTTGTTTTTAGGAAATTTGAAAAGTATGGAAATGTACCAGTGCTTCCATCCCTGTTCCTTGTGCGTTTCTTCTGTGGGTCTTGCCTGGGTTATTTTTGTTTGGGGGATTTTTTAGTTATAGATGGATACCTTTATTTATTTATTTATTTTTGTGGTGCTGAGGATCGAACCCAGTGCYTCACACATGTTGGGCGAGCGCTCTGCCACTGAGCCACAGCCCCAGCTCCCTGGTTATTAAGTCGAAGCTTTAATTCTGAAGTCTGCGAGCCTGGTTATCTCATCTCTAACACAGCTCAGAGCTGGGCTGTTCTTGCTGTCACCGACGAGTTCCGGAAGAGTCGTCTCCTTACCACTGTGACRGGACGCAGCTCTGCCCGGTGCCTGGGTTTCATAGAATTCAGCAGCTTGGGTTTTATTAAAAGAATTATTTCTGTAAAGAGTTGAGGAAGCTTTGCATGGGGAGTGATTTTATTAGACCTCTCSGGAGAGGTGGCCAGATGGGAGGGAGGAGGGGACGTGCAGCCTCACCTCTGCAGCGGGGGCTCCTGAGTCTGCTTCCGCGCCCCATCTCCCCTCCCTGCTGGAGGCGGAGGGTGGTCCCAGCCTTGGCGCCTGCTGAGGTGTGGGTGGGATGGAGCACCCTGGGCCCTGACTAGCGTGGGGAATGGGACTTCACCATGCTCCTTCCTTCCCTTCCTTTAGATCAAACCAGGGTCCACAGTCACCCCGTGTTCCACACGTGTTTTGTTTTCTAGTGACCAGATCACGATGAGCAGCCCACACGCAGAGCATGCGGACTGCACCTCCCACCAGAGCAGACGCCACGCAGAAGGTGAGTGTGACGCAGTCTGTGAGAGTTGCACAAGACCTGATKAGTTAATGTTTTCTGTTACCATGGACCTAAAAGAAAATCCTATATGGTTATGAAAATTATTTTAAAATAAGTTTGAAATATCAATAATGCATTTTTTTAAATTTACGTATCACGTTGTAATAGGAGCAAAAAGGAGACTCGACCTTCTTACGTCTCCGTGGTCTGTTGCTGTGGTTTTCACATCTGTGGCCCAGACGTGGCTCTGGCTTTCAGTCTCTGTAGTTGGTGACCCAGTGTCCCCCCTGGTGGCTTCCTGGCTGTGCTTGTCAGCGCTTCTCTGTGCCTCCTAAGCAGCTGGCTCAGGCATGAAACGCTCAACTCTCTTCCCTGGTGGCAGCTGCACTGGGCTCCTGTGTGAGGGGCCCTGGGAACCTTGCTGTGGTCCTGGCCCCATCTCCCAGGCTGGACTGGCCATGGCAGGAATGGCCCTGAGCAGCCTTTGCCACCTGACCCTTTCTCGAGGGGCACRTTTCTGTGTTTGCCACGGGGAAGCTCATGATCCTCTGGTTTCAGGGCTGTGGCCCAAGGACTGTTGGTCTTTCTGATTTACCATCCCCCGTTTTTCAAAATAGCAGGCATGTGAGACAGGCAGAGTGTCCAGGTCTCCCCTGGAATAAGGATAAAGAGGGTAGGCATGGGCCAGCAGGCCGGGGGGACGGAGARGCCAGGAGTGGGCCAGCAGGCCGGGGGGACGGAGAGGGCAGGAGTGGGCCAGCAGGGCGGGGGCGAAGGCTGCCAGAGCAGGAGCAGGAGCAGCTGCTGCAGGCAGAAGGTCGGGTGGGTGGGTCGGCAGCTGGGTCAGGCACACTGTGAGGCTACTGGAGAGCTCAGTGTTGACCGTCCTTGGCGTGGTGTGGCTTCCTGGGCAGCACTGGGTCCAGGCTCATGGGGGCAGGTGGAGGAGGTGCCATRTGGAGAGCCGGCTCATGTCCCGATGGTGAGTCTCACAGGCAGCCTGGGCATCAGGAGGGGAGGGCAGAAAGTGCAGGTTCATGGCCGCCTGAAGGCCAGCCAGGGGCGGCAGCAGCAGCTCCAGTTAGGGGTAAGGGAACATGGGGAGAAGGTCGGTGGCAGCTTCAGGACGAGCTGAGATTGGGAACAGTGAGCAGTGGTGGGCRTCTGCGTGGGTGGCCTGTGGGCTGGGAACGGATCCTGGAATGCTGGCAGCTGTGGGATTGCCTTGGGAGTCACCCAAGGGACGTGGGCACAGCACTGCCTGAGTTGCAGGGGACACGCCTCAGGGTTCAGAACTTAGGAGGGGGTAGGCTTTCCACAGAAGCAAACAGCTGTGAACAGTGTGTGGTGAAGGTCGCGCCTGAGCCCTCCCTACCGTTTCTGTGGCGGGGTTTTCCCAGGTTGAGCGCGATAACTCCTTAAATTATTTTGCTTTCACCATATGGATATTATCAGAGGAAACCCCTAGTCAAGGTGTTGTAGGGACAAACGAGGCCAGGCACCGAAGATATCAGGAAACAGTTGTATTTGGCTGCATCCAGGCTCAGAGGGCACAGCTTTTGCTATAATCAATCAATCCCCTGAACCCYGAGTTGAGGTAGTTTCAGAGTTTTATACCCAGCATGTAAGGGGAGGGGCTCAGAAGTTCACAGTCTGCAGAAGTTCACAGCTTTTTCTTTCACTGTTTTGGGCACATTAACCCTTCAAGGACAACACCTGAGAAGGGGAGAGCTGCTTCTCCTCCTCTTCCCTCCCCCTGCCAGCTGTTCCCATGGAGCCCACTTGTAACTTATCTTAAAAACGTAGACATCTCTGTGAAGCCCAGCTCAAGGCCAGAGGCCTTCTTTGCACACTTCTTCAAAGAACTCTACTGAATATGTTTGTGAAAACTAGTAAGGGGGTGTCCAGCACCTGGAGTGCTGGTGTCTTCTCGGCCAGTGGCCAAGTAAACAGGGTGTCGCAAAACTAGGAAGGTTGTCTACATTGGGCTCATTTGCTGACAGTCCTAAAATCAGCTGGGCGAAGATTTCTGGAGAGGCCCAGTTAAGACTTTTCAGTGGAGAAAGGGGTGCCACTTCAAAGGCACTAACCGTCCATGTGACGGCCTCCGGGGTGCAGCTCTGATAGCAGTCTCCCCGTCTCACGCAACGGCAGGGTCCTGCTGGTCGGGCTGCACCCTGCAGATGGCAGCACTGCCTGCTGGTCCTGGCCTGTACCTCCCCACCCACTCTCTGTCCCCATGAGCCAGACACAGTTCTGTGACTGACCATGTGCCAATCACTGGCTGTCTTAGCGAGGCAGACGTGCTTCTGAGTGACTGTGTCATCCAGTGTTTTTTTTATTTCACTGCAAGTAAGTCTGCTGTCAGCCATTTCTAGAATCAGTCTTTTTTTTTTWAATACCTTTATTTTACTTATTTATTTTTATGTGGTGCTAAGGATCGAACCCAGGGTCTCATATTGTGAGGCAAGTGCTCTACTGCTGAGCCCCAGCCTTAGCCCTGGAATCAGTCTTTCTGGACTGGAAGTCCCCTGGGAGCARCAGGAGACCACAAAGTCAAGGAGCCTTGCGAGTGTCTGTCTTTTATGTTTTCTGTGACGTTACGCAGCTTTAGTATTAGAGTGCTCGTGGTGGTGGAGAAGTGGAGTCCGTCGTGTTGCCCAGTGAGTGCTGCATGTTTTCACAGTGCGCTGTCACATCACCTCCGCAGCCTGTGCAGGTGTGGGCTCCACGTGGGCTCTTCTCCGCCCGCGCAGGTGTGGGCTCTGCTCAGCCCATGCTAGTGGGTTCTGCTCAGACCCTTCTCATGCTGCCTGGAGCCGTAGCAATGCTTGAACTTCCCACAGTGCATGTGAGATATTTTAGCCTCTCTTTTAAAATGAGTTTCTAATGGAAAGAGTTTCAGGTGCCTTGACCTACAAGAAGGAGAAGGATGGAAGGACGAGGAGGTAGCWTGTTAGGAAGCAGCAGGTCAGGGAGCCCTCCCGTGCTTGCAGAGAGCCGTATGTTGGCACACACCAGCTGGCTCGCACGTTCGGGTGTCGTGGGGGACAGSAGGGGCTCTGGGGAACCAGGCTGGCTGGGCGGGCTGGCAGGCCTCCAGGCAGGACGCTGGCGTGCTCTGACCTTCATCCCAGGAGAGACTCTGCTTGGTGGAGATGTACATCCCAGCAGAGAGCTGTGTCCACGGCAGCGGGTTGGGAGGCTTCAAGCACTTGTGCAGTTGGCTTTTGTGACAGACATAACAGCGTGAGTGACTGGAGGGAAGCAAGCCTCGTGGGGCGCTCCAAAGCTGGTTCCACCTGCCACATGGTGATACAGGAAGAGGAACGTGGGAGGCCGTGGCATAGGTAGGCTGATCCCATGAGGCAGTTAGGAACCTGCTAACTGTTAGGAACTGGAGGTCGGGAGGGCTTGGGGGTCGTGGCAGGGCCACGGCTGGGGCACTCGGCAGAGCTGGAAAGTGTGGGGCAACCCAGACAGCGTGGGAGGCTGGGCATTGCTGAGGAGGAGGCGAGCATCTGCAGTGCCCACCGTGGGGGCCAGAAGGTCCAGGAGCACACGGGAGAGGGAATTTCTCTGGAAAAACCCCACATGGAGGCTGGTGGAGAGCGGGCTGCAGGTCTGTGTGGCCTTGGAGTGGAATTCCCTGTGGGGCAGCAGGAGCCATGGAGGCACATCAGACGTGGAAGCAGCTGAGGCAGAACGGACGTGTGGCSGTGAGCCCGTGGTGTGTGGTTCAGGCAAAAAATGTGAAGTATTCACATTAGGTGATTCTGGGTTAAAMAACAGGTTTTCGTCATGCTGATTTTCATCATTAGACTTCTGTGAACTTTTTGAGCTACTCCCAAACAAAAAGTTGAAGGAAAAAAAGAGATTACAGTAAAATTAAAAAGAGATAAAAGGGAAGAAGTGAACTTTGTTTGTCAAACCTTTGCTCTGCGTTGCATAGAGACGGTCCCTAGAGAAGCTCTGTCTGACGCCTAGGCGAGGTGCCAGGCTGGGTTCACATGGAGAGGCCAGACACCAAGAGTGCAGAAGAGAGGGAAGGAAGTACAGATGTGGAGAAGGAGAGAAGGGGAGAAGGCCGAGGCACAGCAGAGCACTGCGGAGTTACAGCGCTTACTGTAGCTCCGAATGCTTAGGGTTTGTAGTAACGTTAAACTAATAATTGCCACTATATTCTGAAATCTCTCTGCCCAAGAGTAAAGCTTGCATTATCTAGACCGAAGTTAGGTGTTACTGCTCAGAGACCTTTTAACTTATAAACTCATCTTTTTAGGTAAAACATACCTTTTGATTTCTTGAGTATTGTGCTGTAGAATTGTTTTGAATGCAGTTTCAAGGTAGCATTAGTTAGAGCCCCCGTCTTAACACTGAAGAGTCTTCTGGCCTGGCGTTTCGATCAGATTCTCTGGGTTTGCAGGGCTCTGCAGACAGAGCGTCTTGGTCAGCATCAGGGCGGAACAACGTGTTGATGTTAAGCCGCTGGGATTCTGAAGGCACTGCTCTTGGCGCACACCTGCCAGAGCCCTAAGCCGTCAGTGCCTCCTGCTGCCCACTGTGCTGTTACCTTGGTAGAATTAAGTCATTATTTGTAAGGATGAAGTATATTTTCTTGTTAAAAATTTTTATCATATATTGATAAGTTATAGTGTTTTATATTTATTGGGTACAAAATGATGTTTGGGTTTCTTRGTACAACGTGAAATGCTCAAACCAGGGTCAATAACTTCTTAGCTTGTTTCTTTTTTTTTGGTATTAGGGATTGAACCGTGGTGCTTTACCACTGAGCTACATCCCCAGCCCTTTTTATTTTGTGACAGAGTGTCAGTAAGTTGCCAAGACTGGTCTCAAACTTACCAAGTAGCTGGTATTACAGATGYACAATGCCACACCCAGCTTTAGTTTATTTCTTGTCAATTCTTCCAGGATTTAATTTCAGAGTCTGATCATAATCAAGTGCAGATTTGCTGCATCAAGTGATTTTTATATCTTTTAGT